ACACGGATCGATCTGGCTCGAGACGTGCCGCAGAACGATGGGGCCTAGGGCTCCAGACGTGATCTGTCTCGGTGTCTGCGCAACGTCGGATCTCAGGGGAGGCACCAGCATGGATTCGCGACGAGGGTCCCAGGTCTCTGGCGATCGTTCCACATCCTCGCATTGCCATTGCGAAAATCGGGCGTTGGCAGAACTGGGTTTAGTGGAATCTGGTTTAGTGATTTGTACCGGGGGCGCCCCTCCGTCCCATTTCCAATAACCGGAACTGCCGTCACCCGAAAAACACCAATTACGGCAAACCTGGTTTAGTGAACCTGGCCAATTGAGGGGCCCCAGGGCCCTACCACTAACCGGGTCCCCTTACCCGGGGTCCTGGCTATACCCGAGAAAATAACGCCGCGGGGGGGGGGGGGGGGGGGGGGGAGGGGGGCAAAGTTCGGCCTCCGGCGGCCCCGGCCGGGCCCCAGGACCGACAGGAAACCGCCTCCTCCTCCCTTCCCTCGATCGGCACGAACGAACTGGGCACGGGCGGAAAGAATGGGCACAATGCCCAGCAGCAGCTCCCCTTCATGGAGAACAGGGCTCGCTGTCTGCGCCGCCGCGGCCTGTGTCCGCTTGAGGCAGAAGCCCGCCTGCCCAACAGCGGCCGCGGTTGGCCTGGAAAAGCGCCTGCTGGTGGGCACCGTACCCACTTTTTGTCCGTGCCTCGGGCGTCCAAGCTTGAAGCTGTGGGCACCAGTGCCTGTCCCAGGCTTGGCGGCGCGCACAAGGGGGTAGGGGGAGGGGGGAAGCCTTCTTAGAAGGAGGCTGCTTCTTAGAAGGTGCCGGCCTTACCCGCGCCTTCTAAGAAGCAGGGGCGCTTCTAAGAAGCCTTCCCCCCTCCCCCTACCCCCCTCTGCGCGCGGCCGACAGGCGCTGGCCCGCTCCCCACCGCTTCATGCCATCGCCGCTGGGGCGGAGGAGCCACGGCTCTCGGCTGCCGGGCGGCCCGCGGCGCGCGGGCGCCGCCCGCCGGCGGCGCCCCCGCTGGCCCTGCGGGCGGCTCGCGGCGGTCCCTGCTGCGGTGCAGAGGGAGGACGGTCGGATGATCACGGCGCCTGCACGGCGAGAGCGGCCAGGCACGGAAGACCATGGGCGCAGGCGAGAGGGCCCCGGCACGGCGGCCAGTCCGCGCAGGAGAGGTCGGGGATGGAGAGACCTCCCTTTCGGAAAGCGTGGTCTCGTGAAAACGACCTCGGGCCCAAACCTGGCGGGCGCAAGCCTGGCAAAGAACGGCCGCGGCGCCCCCTCGAGAACCGAAAACGGGCAATTCACTCATCGACGCGTCAGGGTAGGAGGTCTGTCCACCCCCGAGAAGTGGACGCCAGAGAGGGTGCCTCTCCTCCTCCCCGAAGGCCCCCCCCCCTGGAGGCGAGCGGCGCGGTGGCCAGGCCTGGACGCTGCGTCCGCACGGGAGGACCGCCAGTGCACGTAGGACCTCTCTGCGCTTCCGCGGGCACGCTCGGGAGTCGTCAAGAGGGGCCCCGCTCTCCGTGCCCTCCTGTACGGCCCCCTGCAAAAGCAGCATCGTCAATCTCTGTCTCTCTCTCTCTCTCTATATATATATATGTATATATATGTGTATGTATATATCTCTCTGTCTCTCTCTCTCTCTATCTCTCTCTCTCTCTCCCTCTCTCTCTCTATGCAGTCAAAACGTGTATTCAGGACGGGTGATAAGGACGCAGGACCCTTGGAGGCCGAAGTTGGGTTTTCCAGGGCGGCGGGCGACCAGTGATGATGGCAAGGACGGGCCTCAGAGGCAAGGACACAAGGGTACCCTAGATGAAGGCGCGCGTCCTTCCTAGGCGCGTTGACTGTATCTCTCTCTCTCTCATTCTGTCTGGCTGTCACTCTCTCTCTCTCTCATCTCTCTGTCCCCGCCTCCGGTCTCCAGTCCGCACCCTCTCCCCTCAGTCTTCCAACCTCCTCTTCCCGCATCCCTCTCCCTCCCTCCGCGGTTGGTACGTAACATGCGCAAGGTCGAAATCAATATATATATATATATATATATATATATATAGAAACTGCCCTCGAGCCACACATCGCTCGAACGGGCCCGTGCGTGCCCGTCGAGCGCTCCAACTCCCACGGGAGGGCCCGAAAGACCCTCGGAGGCCACAAGAAAGCCACGCGTACACCGAGCGGAAGCACCAGAGAGAGTGAAAGGTCCACGGAGTGCCACGACGAGACCCAAGACTGCCCGAGGGGGGCCCAGAGGGTGCAATATGGGCACAGAGAGAGCACAAGCGGGCCCCCAGTGCACCACAGAGAAAGACTGACCAGGGGTGAGAACGAGGAGGTGGAGGAGGGGGAGGGGGAGGAGGAGATGGAGGAGGAGGAGGAGGAGGAGGAGGAGGAGGAGGAGGAGGAGGAGGAGGAGCTGGAGGAGGAGGAGGAGGAGGAGGAGGAGGAGGAGGAGGAGGAGGAGGAGGAGGACGACGACGACGACGACGAGGAGGCCTCGGCACCTGGGGCGGCGGGGGGGGGGGAGCCGACGGCAGTGACCGCGCGTCTTCAGCCCGCGTATCCTCCGCCTGGGCTCTCCAGCACCCTCTGCGGGCGCCCTGGCCCGTGCCGCCGACCCCCCCCCCCCAGGGAATTCGATGCACGTGCTTTTGGAGCAGACCTCTCCCTCTCTCGCCCCCCTTTCTCTCTCTCTCTCTGCCCCTGCCTCAGCTTGCCCCTCTCCCCAGCACAAGATAACCTCTCCAGCACGGCCTCCCAGCACGGCCCCACGCACTCCAAAAGGCGACCCCTCCCCCCCAAAATCCCGTGGCCCGTCGACTCAAGATGGCCATCGGGTGGCTCTCGGGCTCGCCCACGAAGGCTCCAGGACCTCCACGGTCGCCCGAGGCGCCGCAGGCTGGCCTCCCAGACCGCCCGAGGCGTCCAGCGATTGCCTCCGGTGGCCCGACATGTCCAACGACGGCCTTCGGTATGGCCGACCATTGCCAACAGCACAGGGTGGCATCCAGTCTGGCCCCAAGCGGCCTTAACATAGCCGGGCGCATGAAAGCGCTACGATTGTAACACCCAAGGAGGCGAGGTCTAGTTGGATCGAGTGGGGGGGGGCGCTCCGCTGGACACCCGAAGAAACAGGAGCATAGCGACAATGTCCGAGTACTTAACTCTATGGGCGAACCTCACAATTGCACCTGCATGCGACCACACTCCGCTAGACCACCGACGGGCGAAGGAAAGCGAGCACGATTCAACTAGAAGCTGACGAGAGTGAGCAGAGTAGGAAGGAAAGGAGAGTGTGTATAAGAGAGGTGACGAAGAGGACTAGGGGAAAGAGGAAGGAGAGGAGAGGAACAACAAGTGCCCTTCTGGAAACGAGGACCAATCCAAAAGAGGGTCGGGACAACAATAGCAAGCGTTATTACGGGAGTTCCACGCGATCGCCTCTGCACCGAAGGAAATGTCCATGACTCAGCCTTGCCCTGTTCAAGGCCGTCGACGTCGTCGTCCGACGACGACGGCGACAGCGACCACGACGACGACGTCGGGGGCAGCGACCACGACGACAACAACGAATACGACAACCACGACGATCATTTTAAGAGTGTTCGCTGTAATGTGATCGCGTGTCACTTAACGCGTGCATCCCAAGCTCTCGATACTCACCCTTTTCGTTTTCGAGCGTCACCCTTTTGGGGTATGTTTCATTGCCCGCCACGGGTAATTGCACGCGCACATGTCCTACCCAAGAGTGTGTCCCGAGGAAGTATCGAACGGGGGCCATTGCCGTCGTAGTTTGGCTTTCACCGGTGTGACTGACTTGAGAGAAGATCGATGTATATATATAGAGAGAGGAGAGAGAGAGAGAGAGAGAAAACAAAAGAGAGAGAGAGAGAGTGCCGCGGGCGCATGAACGGCGAGGAAATATCGAGCGAAAGCACCGTTCCTGAGTTCGGGGCCCGCTCTGGCCAAGGCGTCTCGAAGTAAATCGTAAGGAAGGGTCGAGCGGGAACCGTTGTTGTCGTTGCTGGGGCTTCAACAGGAATGGGAACCAAGCCCGCACTCAAGCGGGAGCGTCGCATTCAAAAAAAATAGACATTGCCAACGTCGATGCGAGAGCGCCCGGAACCGCTTGCATAAGTCAAGGATACTACGAGTGTGTAGAACTGAAGGTGCCGTGCGACAACCAGGACCACCAAAACCCATGACGACCGTCCTGTGCCCCAACTGCCAGGCCCTGCCCCGCCCTCACCCCGCGCCGCCCGTGTCGCCATCGCTCGGACGTCCACTCCCCGTGCATGTTTCGATGTCGTGCGTCCTCCTCTGCGCAAGATGATACAACAGGATGCTCATCTATGGTCCCCGACGAAAAAAAACTGCACACGGCCGAGCGATGCCAAGCCCTCCCCGCGAGTTCGGAGCGCGCGCGACGGCTGAGCGCGCGACTCCATCAGCTCCTCGCGGCGGACGGACCCCTTCCCTCCTCCTCGCTCCTCGCTCCCCGCTCCTCGCTCGTCCTCCTCGCTCCTCCTTCTCCGTCCTCGCCCTGTTGAATCCTCGCTCCTCCCTCTGGTGCCACGGAGCTGTTATGACTTGGTCGTCGCCTCCAGGCAGGGTGGCGTTTGGGAGGTGCGGGGCGAGTAAATATCTAGCGGCCCTGGACCAAAGCCGAACGCAGCCACTGCAGCTCCTATCCGAACCTGGCGACCTCCACGGATGTCTCCCCTCCTGTGGGGTTCGGCCGAATGGCGCACGCTTCTTGAACCTAGGTCTCCCAACTGCACGCCCTCACGCCGCCCCTCTGGAGAGCAACCTGTCCAGTCCAGACCACGACGCGCGAAGCGACGCTTCCTTCGCTATCCCCTCTAGTTGACTCAGGAAAACCCTGCCATCCTTGGGGGGAACTCTCGGGGTCAGCTCGACATCGTGGCGGAAGTCTGAACCGAAGACCGACGCCATTCAAGATGCTCAAAATCCTAACTATCAGCGCTCGTTTTCTTGCATACACTGCCAGACGCTATACCATGGGTAAGACAGAGATCTAAGGACAGCTCGAAAAAACATGGTCAGCTGAAAGTTGCCAACATGCAGCTGAACCACCGCCCGACCATCGAGCTTTGACATTCAGCTCGAATCGAGAAATAATCCCCTATCAGCTTTCAATCCCGTTTTCGTCACCCGCTCATCCTCTTTGGACCGGCCAGGTATCCGCGTAATCTGCTTGCACGTGTCCCTAAATGCTTCTGCGTTCGACTCCCGCAGATGGTACACGCACTTCCCTGCGCCGTCCAAGCTCCCGCCCAATACTTGCCACATACATCGCTTTGTACTGCAAGCGTCGCGGATGTAGTCCCGGCAACGTAGGCCCTGCCACACCTCCCAGGGGACAAAATGAAGCACCTCTGGCGAAGAATACGTTCTCTGGCAACGAGCGCACCCCCTTGCATCAAAAGCCGCTGGCGGGGCTGATCCACTGCCGCGCCATCGGCACACTGGGGCGTGTTTCGTTGACTGGCTGTCAGAGGGCGACCCCCCTGGACCCCTCTGATGCTGTTTTTTTTTCAACGAAGTCGCTGAGTAATTCAATATTGAATGGAAATCTCATAGCTCGTGCAAACCTGGCGGAACCCAAGATCACGCAGAAAATCTGGTGAACACGCAACCGCGTGAATCCTTGCTTTGAGACAGCAGCTATAAAAGACGATTGGTGGCTCGTCCAGCCCTCTGGTCTAAGAGTGAGTCAACGGATGAGCGAACGCAAGGCATCGAGCCCAAGATGCGCTCATCTCTGTCACCACATCCCTGCGGTTTTGGCCTTGCAGAGAAGGTACAGTGAAAACGTATAGTAAGTACGCGTGGTAAGGACGCAAGACCCTTGGAGGCCGAAGTTGAAGTATTCTGGGCGGAAGGCGGCCAAACCCCCAGGTAACCTGAGAAACAGGCCTGCGAAAATTGCTAGGGACGGGCCGCAGAGGCTGAGGCAGGCAAGGACCCAAGGGTACCCTTGAAAAAATAGTTTGTCCTTACTATGCGCGTTGACTGTACCCAACTACGAAGTGTCGGGAAGGAGGTTCGATCACCCCCTGTCCCCAACGCTCGCCCGCCCCCCCAGCCCCCTCGCCTCCATGGCCACCACGGGCCTAGAAGGCCCCAGAACTCTGGCCCAGAGGGCCCAGACAGGCACCCAAGACGCACCAGGGGGGGGCGCGAGTCGCCGAAAGATCGCGCCGAGACGCCCAAGATGGCTCCAAGACGATTCTGGAAGCCTCCAAGACGCCTCAAGGGGCCCCCGCGAGGCCTCCCAAAAGGGCCCCAAGAGGCAAACATCGCCGACTCCCTTCGACAAGCTTGAATTTTCAGCAGATTCGCCTTGTGAGCCTTCACGGCGTCCAAGACGGCCCAAGAGGCCCCCAATATCACCCCGAGACGGCCCAAGAGGCACCAAAGAGAGTTCTAAGACGGCCCGAAAGGCTCCAAGACGGCGCAAGAGGCGCCCGAGACGGCCCAAGAAGGCCGTCTTGACAAGCCCAAGAGAGGGCCTGGAGGAGGAAAAACTAACATTTCGAGCCTTCGGCCCCAAGACGCCCCCAGGAGGCCCCCAAAGACCTGAAGAGACCCCCAGAATGTCCCAAGAGGCCCCAACAGGCCCCTAAGAGGCTCCCGGAAGGCCCCCAAGAGGCCCCAAAACTCCAAGACGCCCCCGAGAAGCCTCCAAGATGCCTCCAAGACGCTCCCAAAGAGGCCCAACAACTGCCTCCAAGATGGCCCCATAACGCTTACGCATGAACTTAAATGTTGCAACCAATTTCCTATTTTCCATGGTTATACAGATTCAGCCGTCTGGGGGTTCCTCCAAGACCGCGCCCAAAAGAAACTGCCTCCCAAATGCTTCCAAAACGCTTAGTTCTGAACGCTTAGTGTGACGTTGGCACCTACTGACGCGGCTTCATGATGATGGCCTGCCACGCTGGTCTGCCGTGCTGGTCAGTCGACCTAGTCTGCCGCTTCAGGCGTATGATGGACCTTGTGGGCAGTCGAGGGCTCTGGGGGCTCCTTTCGGTTCTTGGAGGGCCTCTTGCGAGTTTGTTTTAAGAACTGTTCGGAGCCTGCTGGAACCCCGTGCAGAATTCTTGGGTTCTCTTTGGCTTTCTGGGCAGGTCTCGAGTCTGTGGGAGCTCTCTGGGGCCATTTTGGCGCCCTCTGGGGCCGCCGTGGACAACTGCCTTGCCTGCCCTCACAACTGCCTTGCCTGCCCTGCCCCGCTGGTACCTCGCTTCGTCGCTTCCACAAGCGCGGTGGCGGATATCTGCGGCAACGCCACTGGATACCATACATATTGCACCACATGTATTGCACCTTAGATGTCTCTCAAAACGGTCAGGGCGCTTTGTTCCCACGTGTTGAGCTTTCACATGTTGTGCCCCTTTCAGGTTCCGTCGTGTGTCCGTTTCAATCGGCATTCGCAGCAATCTTGTTTCCGATCCCGTTGCAATGCCCGACTCGATTTTTTGGTCAGTTTTCAGAGTGCCGTTCTGTTTCTGTTCCGTCTCTCCCACAGAGGCGGTAGGTCATCTCGCGCACCCAAGCTTGGGGCCCCTTGCATGCCTCAATCGCCGTCGGAAGAGGCGCCAGGAGCGGAAGAGACACTGCCGTCTTCGACTGGCACGGGCTCGGGCGGCCCGTCGAGGCACGCTAGGCTTGGTGAGCGCTGTCATTCCGAGCGCGCGGCCCCTGCTGGCTGGCACCATTGACTGAGACGGCTGCGCAGGGGGATCAAGGCAGATGATTTCCCCATTTCCAACTCCCCGTTGCTTCCCTTGTCCGCCCGCTCCGTTTTCTATTGTTTCAGATGCGATTCCCGTACGTTTTCAGCTCACGTGCAACCGCCCCCAAAAAACATCTCCTGGAGTTCCACCCCCACCGACGCAGCCGCCTGGGTCAAGGGTGCCCGCCAGCAAGGCCCGCGCTCTTGGGATGGCAGCGCTCACCAAGCAAAGCGTAGGTCCTGAAAGTTCCGCGGGGGTTTAGGACAAGGGGGTTCAGAACAATATTTGTTTCTATTGGAAAGGGCGGTGATGAATAGTCGAGAATTACGCATGGTCATCCTTTTACCCATCCACCCATCTGCCAATCCACCCATCCACCCATCCATCCATCTACCCATCCGCTCCATCCATGAAAGCGGACAGGAGAAAGAACGTATGCAGACGATTGCGTAGACGGGGCCGAGCCCGTGCCCGTCGAAAGCGGCAACGCCTCCTCCGTTGTGGGCGCCTCCTCCGACCGCGACTGAACGGAATGCCGCCGCCCCGAATGCCGCCGCGAATGCCCCTTGTTTCCGCCTCGAAGGCCTTGGACAAACATTGCGGGAATCGTTGTTTCGTTTCCGTTCCTCGGTGGCACCATTTTTCTCGTTATCGATTATCGTTATTTAAATTCCGTTTTCAGATCTCCAAGAACGCAAACTGAAAAGGGAACGCACGCCTTGATCGTTTCGAACGGCAACTAAGGGCGGGACCACATAGATTCTCCTTTCTAAAAACAAAATAAGATCTACCCCCCCCCCGGCGTTATCACTCCCCCTTGCGGGTAGCAAATCATATATGATTATGACCACATGTCCATCCTAAATATGAATTTACACTATCCCCGTGAGGCGGGTTCCCCCCTCTGAGGTTCCCTGGTACAAATAACACTATGCGGCGACATTTTGTTTTAACACAACAATTTTTCGCGAATCCTTTTGCACAAATAAGACGAAATGCGCACGCGCGCGTCGTCGCGCGCGGATGCCGAAATCCTTACAAAACCCTCGGTGCCGGAAGGGTTTCGCCGAAGGGTTTCGCAATCGAGTTTCCAAAGAACATACAAAACCACAGGGTTTCGCCACACGGACTGGCTAAACAAGCTTCCGCGCAAGCTCTTGCGAAATCTTCAGAAAACCATGCGCTTTCCAAGATTTTCACAAAATGCTATTAAACGGGCTTCGCGCGCGCGCATGTCGAAATCTGTCGAACGCCCTTGCGCGTGTGCCGTCGCGAGAATCCGCTGCAAAAAGTGGGACGAAGTGCAGACGCGCGCGTCGTCGCGCGCGTATGCCGAACTCCTTCAAACCCATCGGTTTCGGAAGGATTTCAAAATCGTGTGTCCAAAAAACCTACAAAAAACCAAGGTTTCGCAACACGGATTTTCAACAAAAGCGTGCGCGCGCGCTCTTGCGTCGTCGTCGTCGTCGTCGTCGTCGTCACCGTCCTCCCTCCTCCCGCGTCGTCGCCGTCATCGCCTACGTCGTCCTCTGTCTTTCTTCGTGTTCGTCGTCGTCGTCCTCTTTGGCGTCGTGGTCGTTTCCGTCGTCGTTGTCGCCGTGGTCGTCCTTCCTCCTCCTCCCTCGTCGTCGCCGTCGTCGTCCGTTGTCGGCGTCTCGTCGTCGTCCCTCCTATTTCGTCGCCGTCGTCGTCGTCGTCGTCGTCGTTGTCGTCGTCATCTTCCCTCCTCCCTCGTCGTTGTTGTCGTCGGCGTCGCCGTCCGTCCTCCTTCTTCGTCGTTCGCGTCGTCGCCGTCCTCCCTCCTCCCTCGTCGTTATCGTCGTTGTCGTCGTTGTCGCCGTCGTCGTCCTCCCTCCTCCCTCGTCGTCGTCTCCGTTGGCGACGTCGTCGTCGTCGTCTTCGTCGTCGTCGGCGTCGTCGTCATCTTCGTCGTCGTCGAAGTCTGCGTCGTCGTCGTCGACGTCGTCGTCGTCGGCGTCGTTGTCGTCGTCGTCGTCGGTGTCGTCGTTGTTGTTGTCGTCGGCGTCGTCATCGTCATCGCCCTGGGTTTTGAAATCCAAGTTGCGGGTGGGTGGGTGGGATGTTTGCAAGAGCGCGGGATGTGTCAACTCGTCTGTAAAAATCAATTGCGCCACATAAATTACACCAGGTCGATTGCACCACATCCATTGGACAACGTATATTGCAGGGCATATGTTGCACCGCTCAGATTGGGCCACGTCGATTGCACCACATGGACTGCGCACCACATAGGTTGCACCACGTAGTTTGCACCACACATGTTGCATATTATGCAATGTACAACATGTGCACATTCTCCCTCTTGAAAACAAAATAAACTCTACCCCCCGGAGTTATCGCTACCCCTTCTGGGTGTGTAAATCATATATGAGTTTGGCCATATGTTCATGTTAACTATGAAATCACAATGTCCCTGGCCAACCGGGTTCCCCCCTGAGGTTCCTTAGTCAAAAACTGTGCGGTTACATATTTTGCTTCAACATAACACTTTGTCGTGGATCCCTTGCAGAACCATGGGACGAAGTGCGCACGCGCGTCGTCGTGCGCGCATGCCAAAATCCTTCAAAAACCTTCGGTGTCGGAAGGATT